AAAGCTCGCAGTGGCCAGGTGTACTGGGAAATCCTTGGACAATTTCGCAAGAAGGTTAGGCCAGCATTTAAACAACAAGCCAACCATGGCATGCGATGTTGAGCAGCCGGCGGCGACTCCTGCTGATCAGCAAGTTCACTGCTGGTGCCCCTCCATGTTATCAGCTGCTTGCATTGAAGTTGTGCGTGCGGTTTGCTTCGCAGGTGCTGAGTCTTTTGCAAAAGATGCAACATGTTCACCTTGTGTTGCAACATATTGGGCTCTAGGCGCTATAGGGAGCTCTGGGCAATGGATGCTGAAGACGGGCAGGAGAGCCCAACGAGCCCTGCTGGGCAGGAGAGCCCAACGAGGCCTGCTGGGGTGAGCCGGGCGAGCTCTTCAGCAAGCTCAGGGGCCACTGAGCGGCGGAGTCGGTCCAGATCGACGAGGCATCGCCAGTCAAGATCGAGGCATCGGTCAGGATCAAGGCGTCGCCAGTCAAGATCGAGGAGCCGAAGCTCATCAAGGAGTAGTCAAGATCGAGGAGCCGAAGGTCAAGATCAAGGCGCCGGTCAACTTCGAGGAGGCATTCTTCGTCAGCGGCAAACCCTGGGCACGCGGCAGATGAGCCCGAGGAGGAGCTCAGCGATGGTGAACTGAGGACTCGTTTGTTCCACAACCACTACAAGCTTGCTCTGCCAGCTGGCCGCTTATATGCGCATCCGGTGCCAAAGCCATTAACACGGTTGCGAGCACCGGTCGCTCCTGGACGTTTGTTGCGAGGACCGGTCCCTCCTGGACTTTTGACTCCTGGGCCTGGGTGCAAGGCCAAGGCAACGCCTAAGCCCAGGCCATGGGCTAAGATAAACCCGCCACCACCGCCAGTTCGGGCCTCAAGGTGAGAAAAGAGGTGATGAGTGCAAGCAGATCGACTCGAGTCAGTGGTGTGCATGTTGTGTCCAGTGTCTTGAGTGTGAGCCTGAGCAACACATGTACACAGGGAGTGTGTGGCTCCATGCCTTTGTTTTCGTGGCCTTTGCCTGGGGGTGATGGCTACCTCGGATGCTGCTGCCTCCATGCCAGATGAGCTGGAGCAGGACTCGTATCTGTCACAAAGTCCATGATATCTCCAAAGCCGACATATAATCTCTTTCCTTGCAAAAGCCCAGGAGACTGCCGATGCTGATCCTGAGAAAGAGCATGCAGTGGGCCCCTGAGTGACATGCTTACTTACTTGAAAAGACAAACCGCAGACAAGAATGGCTTGAGTGCCATATATTGTACCTTAGGTCATGAAGGCGATGATCGACGTGATGCGACCTTTGATGGAAACGGTCAGCAGAACCCTGGTGCAGACTGATCGAGTTTTGCTTTGCGTGCATGCATGTACCTCCATATTTTGGCTGTTTAAGGTGAATCTATGAGAAGCTGAGGTGCCAACGAGGTGTTTGAGGGGTGCCAAAGATTCACAAATCCAGAGGATTCTATACCGCTTGATTTCATAAATCATATGCTCTTTT